GTGTGCATTTCTGTCAGCATTCCAGTCCTCTGAGCACTGACCAAAATCTCCCATCAATCTCTATTTACTCTGCTTACACTTTTCTCAGGCTTTTCTATTCAGCATTTCCAAACCTTTCCTCTTGTAAATCAGTTCCAGTCTTTCCTCTTGCAAATCAAGCCCATAGGTTTGTCAACCATGTGGTCAGGTAGAGTCACAGCAATGACCTCACTCCCAATTTCCTGTATTAATCACTTTCTTGTCACTGAGATAAAATTTGCAACACCCACATCTTAAAAAGAACAACTTTGGCTCACATTTCAGATTTCATGGTTGGTAGGTTCCAAGGCAGGAACAGCGTTGCAGAAGTGCAAGGGCTAGGAACACTGTTTACCTCATGGATGCCAGCAGGAGGAGAGCCAGAAAGAGCCAGAAACAAGAATACTCCCTGAGGTCATGCCCCAGACAACCCAACTCCCACCAGTCCTCACCTTCTAACAGCATATTCACCCACTGAACTCACCGGTGATTGAATCTATAGAATAATGCAGTGCCCCATGATCTAATCACCCTTGAGACTCTTGGGAGACATTTTGGATCTGAACCATATGAAAGACATTGCTTATCATTTTGTACTATACAAGTTTTTGATAAAAAGTATATATCATTAAATTTTTTTGTTAATAAAGATGAGCTAATTAAGGAAAGAGATTTATAAATAACTCTTACATATTGAGGATATGCTTTTTTTTGTGCTTTGTATGTATTCAGGCCAATCTATATTTTTCTTTACAGTTCCCTTTGCTCTCATGATATGGAAATCTTTGGCAGTGTTTGCTCTTATAAACATTTATATACACTTTTATGCATCATGACTTTAGTATTTGCATCATAATACTAAATCATCTTTAATCCACTTTGGAAAATAATCTAAGCTTAGAGTTCACTTTCCTTCTTTCTCTAATTGTTACTTCACAATTCTAGCAATAATTACTGCACAATAATTGGCTCACTGACTTGAAGTGGTGCCTTTGAGCTGCAATGATACATGAACATGTCCTGGTTTTCACTGTAAATCATTCATTTATGCACCTTTACCTGTGTTCAATATTTTTCATCTCAATTCTAATTCTTTGAAAATCTCTACATGATTTTTATTTTTTGAAACCACAGCTTACTATTTTAAAAACATTTCAGTAATCCAAAAGAATCTTAAAAATATTTTGTCATGTTTGTCCTCTATGAAAAAAATAACACAAATCAACCAATTATGCTTGAAATATAAATTAATTTGGGAAGAATCACAATGTTTAAATATTCTTTACATTACGGATAAGGAACATATCCTAATTCATTCAAATTTGCCTTTTATTAAAATTGATGTTTTTAACTGAATCTCATTCATTTCTTTTAAATTTATTACTGTGTTGCTTTCACTCTTAGTTGCATTAGGAAAAGAATCATTGCTCTTTATATTGTCTTTATGATTACTGCTGATTCTTAGGAAAAACATTACTTTTTTCATGCATACATTATGCTAACTTGGTAAATTCTGTTATTCGTTATGATGGTTATCCATTTGATTCTTTTTATTTTCATGGAGACAAATATTATCAATTGAAAATAGCATATATTACAGCAATTCTGGGTATGAACTTCTGTTTCTGATTTTAATAGCTCTAGTGTTTTACATTAAATATGATGTTTGGAGTTGCTTTCCAGATAGAGAATAAAATTTACCTGTGGGTAAGATACAGAAGCAGAGGCTGAACTATTTTTTCACTGTTCCTTCCTATGGTCTTCTTCAACAGAGGCAGATCTGGGTTTATTTCTTTATATTTGAAATATGTGTTTGAACATATTCCCCTGTCCTACTAAGAAGCCTAAAATGTTTTAGTCCTTAATCCTTTAAGTTACAGTGAGAATTTTCCAATAAACTGTCAAACTTCAAGTCATTCATCTATCCTTTTTCTCATTTCACATGTGCTTGCGTCTGCTGCATGGAGATTTTATTTTAGATTCATATTAATCTTCTTCTGTCTGTAATTTGATCTTAAGCAGAGTATTAAAGGAGACAGGGAACATTTAAAAAGATGTAAAATTCTTGTATATACTGAACAGCAACATTACAAGTACTAGTGAGACATTCTCATGTAACAAACTCATAATTGATATTCTTTTAGTCTTGAAAATCTGATTCCTCTGAGATACAAAGGACTTTTACATCATGGATATTAATGACATAGAGTCAAACATGATGGTAGTCATATTTCTAAAACAATTTTGATGAAAATATTCTTTTTTTTTTTTGGTACCGGGGATTGAACTTGGGACCTTGTGCCTGGGAGGCAGGCGCCCAAACCACTGAGCTAAATCCCCGGCCCCTGATGATTCTAATTTAGCTTAGTAAATTTCAGCTTAAGGTAGTTTATGGATGAAGAAACATGGAAATATGCTAAGGTTCAAGATTCTTTTTCATTCTCTTTCTTTATCATTGTTTTTATTTCTTTCACTCTACCCAATGTCCTTTCAATTTCTCTCTTCCTAAGCAAACTTTTTATGTCAGTCTGTCTTTAAACAATTTTAAATGAACACTCTGAAAATGCAGAAACTGAACTTTTTATGTTATTGATGATATTATGTTAATACAGATATGATACATACGTTCCCAATTAAACAATGATTTTTTGAGCATTAAAATGAATAAAATAAGACCTAAAAGCAATTCTTGAAGCAACCAATGACTTGTGATCCTTTTCAGACCTTTCTTAGTTCTATTTGGAGATCTTGTTTTTTAGTAATTCTGTCATAGTACAGGCACTGAAACTCAGAAAAACTTTTACTAAAATAACTGCTTGGTCATGATAAGTTGAAATAGAACAAAAACAGGGATTGGCTGAAAGAAAAGAACTTGAACTCAGTCATGTAACATTTTAGGTGGCATATTTTTACATTATTATAAAATTTAAAATTTATGTTAAAATATACATTTTCACACTCATGACTGAAAATAGAGGGACTGGGGAAGCATGCAAAATGGGAGAAAGTAGAGAAATGTCTTTAGTCTAACAAAGAAAAGCTGCATGAGAAGTTGGGCCTTCCTCAGGAAGAACTGTGCTGTAGGCAATGTTTGTTTCTATTCATCCCTGTGGCTTCCTCCTGGCCTTGGTACCTGATATCCTCATCTGACCTCTTGGATTCGCAAGGCCCCTACTTTGATAGATCAAATCTCTATATTGTTCATATCTTTCCTGTTTCTTACCAGTCAGATTTGGCCATCTATACTTTTTCTTGGGGTTTGGATTTTGATTAGTTGAGAACAGATGGTGTCTGAGTCAGGACCCAGCACGCTAGGAAAGGAGATTTAGCATAGGCTGTGGTAAATAGAAGGGTGAGGGAAATCTTACAGAAGTCTAACAGCGTTGGCCTATTGACTTCCTGTTTCTCTGCTCTGCTCTTTTGTCAGTCTTTGTTAACCCCTTATGAAGCCATCTGTCTTTTGCTGACCTTATCCTTGTCTCTCTTATTGATATTTGGCTTCATCAATGTTCAATATTTCAGACAAACACCTTGATTGGCTTCACTCAGTTTATCATGGTGGGCCACTGATTGCCAGCCTGACATAGATTCCCTCCCTGAGTGCCTACTCCTTTCCCAGTAAACGTGGCAGTAACTGTGGGTCCAGGACTGCCGGCAGGGCAAGATTTCCTGTGCAGAAGCTGTGCGTAGGTCGGCAATGTCTGGGATGTGGAACTGATGTTCCAGGGCATTCCTCAGTCTTGAAGCTCTTCAGTCTCCTTGGCTGCCCTGCGGAGAGACTGGTGAGTTTGGCAGCGCATTTTGCTTCTTTTAGCAAATCCAGTAGCTTTGGGAGGCACAGAGGGAATAAAAGGACTCGGAGAATGCTTTCCTCAGCATGAGGAGCATGCTGTAAGTTTCACTTGAGAATACTTCTTCCTCTGAAATGGTGATTCCATTCTGACTAGATTCCATGACACCTTGGATTCCTAGTATGGTGTAGAGGACACTGGGCAGCGCACATGCCTCTTAGTGTGCTTTATTGATTATATAATTTATCAAAAAAGGCAGGTCAGCTCAGGCAAGATCTCCCTCCACATTTTTTCTCAGTACTGCTGGTGACAGACCTGCTCGCACACGTGTTCATTGAGGCCTTAGTAAGAAAAAAATCCCATCGCCTGCTTAAGGAGCTGTGTGAGAATAAACAAGGATAAGCGAAGGAGGTCAGTTGTCTTCCCTAGATGCAGAATCTTAATCTGAAAAGTCCTGGGCAGCTGATTACCAGGGTTTCAAGGACCTAGTCACTTTCTTCTTCTGTCTTTCTTTTCAGCATGCTCGCATGAGCGCGCGCACACACATGCACACCCTTTCCTTCTAGTCATGAAATGTGTTTTCAGTGGTCATACCTTCTTTTCTCATATTTGCCTAGCTTTTAAGGTGAATTTTTGGCAGGCCACGGCCTGCCCTTGCCCCAATCTGTCCCATCGTTCAAACAGGCGTTCAGTGTCTCCATGAGTTTTAGCGTGTTTGTTTCTTTTGGACGAACACAACTGCCCCTTTCTCTCTCTCCACCGTTCTCTCTCTCCATTTCTCTCTCTCCGTCTCTCTCTCTCTCTCTCTCGCTCCATCTCTCCGTCTGCCTTCTATTTAGTTCAAACGTACACCCAACAGGCAGACACGCGTGTCTCCGAGGGCTCCTGAGTCCAATGTCACGCTGGGAACGGGCGGAGCGGGAGCGGCGCGGCGCGCGCGGGCGGGGACGCTTTCCGGCCGGCAGGGGGCAGCCGCGGGGCGGCGCTGGCGCGCGAGGGCTGAGCTGCGCCTCGCCTCGCTCCGCTCGGCAGCCTCGGCTTGGGGAGCGGCGCGGCGGGGCCGCGAGCGAGCGCAGCCTCTGAGGGCAGCGGCGGCGGCGGGAGTGAGGCGCGCAGCAAGCAGCGGCGCGGGCGGGAAGCAGCAGCCGCCGCCGCCGCCGCCGCGACGGGCAGCCGGGCTTGGGACTGCGTCCCCTAGGCTTCGTGGCCCGGCGCGAAGCGGCCGGCCAGTGTGGAGCCCGCACCGTCGCTGGCCGCGTCCCCCGGGCATGGAAGCAGGCGGCAAGCCCAACTCCTCGTCCAGCTGCCGCGACGATGGCAACAGCGTCTTCCCCGCCAAGGCGGTCGTCGCGGGGCCGGGCGCGGCCGAGAAGCAGCTGGGGACCCCGCTGGGGGGCGGCGCGGCGGGCGCCAAGGAGCACGGCAACTCCGTGTGCTTCAAGGTGGACGGCGGCGGCGGCGGCGACGAGGCGGCGGGCGGGGAGGACGGCGAGGGGCCCCGGCGGCAGTACGGCTTCATGAAACGCCAGTTCACCTCCATGCTCCAGCCCGGGGTCAACAAATTCTCCCTCCGCATGTTCGGCAGCCAGAAGGCGGTGGAGAAGGAGCAGGAAAGGGTTAAAACTGCAGGCTTCTGGATCATCCACCCCTACAGCGATTTCAGGTGAGGGCCGTCCGGGGCGCCCCACCCTCCTCTTCGCCGGGGCGCGGGGTCGGGGCCGGGCCGGGCCGGGCGGGCCGGGGGCGGCGCTGCACGGCTCCGCTCTCCCCGCAGCCTCGCCGCCGGGAGGGGCTGGAGTCCGAGTTCCCCTCTCCTTCACCGCGCCAACTTTGGTACAGGTCGAGGAGCACGAAGGCCAGGGCGATGCCCGTCCCCGGAAGGGCGATGCTAAGTTGTACCGGGGAAACTTTTACTTCGGAGATGCTAATGTCAGGAGGAGGGCACACACCCTTCCTGGCGTCGCTCCTCGAGATGCGGGTCCCTCCGCCGGAGAAGGGAAGATGCTTCTGGGGTTCGGGACCGGATGGGGTGACCGAGACGGTGACGAGCAGGTCCCGGCTCCTCCAGCCGCTCTCGCCCCCGGGGAGCGTTAATCTCTTGTTCTCTGCTTGTAGGCACCGCGTTTTCCCATTGCGTTTCTTCAGAATCCTGGTGGCAGGCTGGGGAAGGGTAATTTGCGCTTGGGTAGTGAGGTTTCAATGGAGCAGGTGCTTTGGGGCCGGGCAGGAGCTAACAGGAAGCCTGGAGTTCCCCACACAGACCGGGGGCGCTGCCAGAGCCCCCTTCCTGAAATAGAGCGACACCCTTTCTTGACCTTGACTTCAAGTCTATTTAAAAAATCTCATTCCTATTTCCCATCTCGGGAGGAAGGGCAGGAGAGCTGTCAGCAGAACTCTGGAGAATGAAAATGAAGACGTTTCCTGATCTTATTTGTCACTCAAATATTCATTCGGGTTTAAACGTGTTTAGAGATTGTCAAATGAAGGTCGTGGAGTAGATCCTCTTATAGCGTGCGCACACTGTGCAGTCACGTTATGTTCTCTTGAGTAGGGCTGGACTGCCTAGTTAAAAAATCCAAAACTAGTAACTCAGCATGGTATTTATTTTTTTTTAACTGAACTCGTCTGAAAAAAGAAAAAAAATCATCCAAAGAAGTACGTGTGCATACTAAGCAGTTTTAACAGGCTACTATTACTAAAGAGCAAACAGCAACAAAAAGCAGTATTACTTTATGTTCAGAAAGTAGGGGAACTGCTGGCTTTAGTGGGAGCTGTCCACAGTTCTGAATGACATGAGCCACGGAAAACCCTCAGTCCCACCTAGCAAAGCTTAGAGTGCCTGTCTGCTGCTTTTCTGAGATATTTAGCATCTCAGAAATCAGTAGCCTGTGCTATTTATGCATTGAGTGGATGGATTTCAGGATTTAAAATACTTACTTGCAAGATTTAAAAATACTTATTTGCAAAACACATGGGAACATCTAGAAGAGGATTTAGAAAAGCTAATGATATTTGTACCCTGTAGATCATTAAGAGATTGATTGAAAGAATATTCATCCTAAAAGGACCTACTAAATAATCAAACATGTTTTGTCTACTGGGAAGATACTTAGAGAAGCAAACTTATAAATGACCTTGCTTTAAGTCAAATTAGATTGTCATGTTCTTTAGAACTTTGGTTTAGGGCCTGGGGATTTAGCTGAGTGCTTCTGCTGCCTGCCTTGAAAGCACAAAGTCCCGAGTTTGATCTCTGGTACCAAAAAAAAAAAAAAAAAAAATCATTTTGTGCTCACTTTGGCAGCACATATACTAGAACTTTGGTTTGGAATCAAGTATAAAGCACCATACCTTTTAAGTTCCCAATGGAAACATGTTGCAATTCACACTACAGTTTTTAAATGAAAGGAGCTTTCAGCCTTAATAATGAAAATGAAAGTCATATTTCCAGAAATATATGTTGTTCAATAAGTAATGTGCAAATAAAATGCTGAAGCTATTTATACAATTTCACATTAAATTAAAAGGTTACATATAATACTGTTGTTTCTTCAGTAGTATGAAAAGGATGACACTTTTCAAAATGGTAGCATATATTCAATAAACTTTTTCCCCTTAATGGATAAAGACATAGGGGCCATCTTTCATGAATTAGAGTAGTGTGCCCAAATCATTCATGAAATTCATGAACTTAAGAGATTTTCCACATCTTCCTAAAAAGATCTTGTGACATAAAATATCTATTTAAAAACAAACATTATTACAAAACAAAACATTGAAATCAGTGGAAGATTCAATTTGGTCATGCCTTTCAAAGAAAAGGGAGATGATGAGAAAATGAGCTAATACACTAAACAAGTTCCAGTGTGGAGTACTTTAGAACATTTAATTTCCTTTGAATAAATGGAAAAGTGAAAATGACAGACATAAAATAAGCAGTCATTGTTTTGCAGTCTTTTAAAACTAGAAAATATATGAAAAATAGATTTTAAAACATAATTATAATATATACTGGTTGTCTAAAGTAAACTAAAGGTAATCATTTACTTATTTGCATTCAGAAGACCTTCACATCTTATTTTTCATTAATGTTTTTGTCTGATCTCAGTACCAATTTAAGATTTTCTAAAACCTATAACATGTGAGAATAATGTAGTTAAAAGAAAGGAAAGTATGAAAGACAGTTCTGGCAGTAAATTTTTTTCTAAAGGAAAAGTAATGTGTCAGTAATCTTCAAGAGATACTTAAAATTTTCACTCACTTCAGCCCTTTCCTAAGAACATGCTTTAATGGAGGTGCTTTGCTACAGTTCCTAAAATACCAAGCTGAAGTTTGTTAACCATTTAGCAACTGAGAAAATGACACTTAAAGATAAATTTCCACAAGGGAGGGAAGATGTTGGAAATAATGATACCATGTGGAATTTTCCTTAATGGTTTCATCAGACTTTGGGTGCCCAGGGAAATTTACCTGGTCTGCTCATTGCTCACCCCTATTCTGCTTAGTGTAGCATGACCCTTTACTCAGGGGCATGTTGGGACTTCAGAATTGTGGCTTCGGTTCTACTTTCCCTCTCAGGAAAACTCTAAGGCTGATTCCTCTCCACTTGCCTCTAGGGGCAGAGCTGTGCTCCCCCTGAGACTCCCAGGAAGCTAACTGGTGCCTCTCACTGCCAGAGCCCAAAAGTGCTGTTGCTGTGTCTGGCAAGTAGCTTTCTCCTACCTCTGGTGTAAGTAGGGCAGAGGCACTGTATTCCCCTTCTTTCTCGGGAGAGGACAGTGTTAGAAACCTTCAGAGAGTAAAGAAGACTCTGGTGGTATCAACACTGTTAGAAATATCTAGGTGGAAGCTAGACAATTTAGTTTGAAAAGTCATGTTTTTATTTATACTATAATATGTAAGCACTCAGACTATGAAAAATATGAATAGGTACATTAAAAAGTTTCTTACACAGATTTTTGGGTAATGAGGACATAGTCTCATTTTCACTGAATTTCATGTGAACAATACATGTTTCAAATTTCTAGGTTAAACATGATTGTTTTTAAAGATCACTAATAGTGGTTATATATTTATTAGTTAAAAGTTTACTTTTTATTCATTTAATAAAAACGTTACACAGGCTAAGCATTGTGCTTTCACAGCCCGTTGGTAGTCATGATGTAATTATTGAAACAGATTAAAAGAATACTTAGAAAGCTCTTGTGGATGATGCGTGTCTGTGTGTGGTGCTGGGTATTGAACCTAGGGCTTGATTCATGCTGGGCAAGTTCTCTATCCCTAGCAAAATAGATTTTTTTATGCAAATAATTTACCTTAGTAAAATTTATTATCAGAATGTTTGCTATTTTAGGTTCTGATGTTATTTTGTTAGATCATGCTTATACGAAGTCTCTTTCAAAACTCATGCTTTTATTCTGTATAGATACCAGCTGACATCTTGCCCCTCATAAGAGAGGAGGTTATGTGTCTTGGCTTTTTATTTCCTCCACTGCGTTTCTTTATTAGTGTAACAGTGTGAAAAGCTTTGCTGTGTTGTAAGTGCTCAAGGACTCTAGAGACTAGTGATGGGGGACATTTCCTGAGGATGCATCACTGCTTCTAGCCTTCTCTCTCTGTCTCAGAATGCACGGTACTGTGCTGGTGTAGAGGTCACCGATGGTTCATCAGGAATGGAATGGAGGCTTCACCTCTACTCTCTTGTGTGTCAGAGAGAGACATTTTGTTTCCGGGAGCTCCTCACAAGAAAACAGTTCAACCATCTGGGGTTTAAGGTCTAATTAGCCACTGTAATATTATCTTTGAGCTGAATGTATTTATATGCTCCCAGCAATGCATCTTTTTTTTTTCCATATCAACAGCCAAAATAAATGATAATGATTTTTTTCTGTTAGGTAAATCTTTTTATATCTTAAAATTTAATTAAGATTTTTAGGGGGTTTACCAACTGTTAAGTCCAATTAAAGTGAAATTATTTGAAAGCTTCAAAGGTATGAATTTATTCAGTTACCTTTTCTTATTAAACATGTTATACAACTTGGAGTTTAATCAATGTTTCACTACTAAGTTCAATTTAAATATTACAATGATACAATACTATTAAAATATTACAGATAGTTTTCATTTTTTTCTGAGAAAATATCTCTTTAAGCATGCTTTTAAACTCTTGTTATACAGTAGTAACCATTGGACAAATACACTTTAATGATCTTATTTCATCATGTAGACATGCATCTATGAACTTGTCTGTTAAACAATAATGAAAGAAACAAGTGCTTTGGGAAGATATAGTACGTATTATTTTTTTCACAGGTTAATTTAACTACCTTGAATTCAGCTACATTTGCTTGATCAGAAATCACAAACCAAAACATCTGCAAAAACCAGTTTAAATAGTATCTGTGATTCTGAGTTAATCATATATCTTCAGTGAACCTATGTCCCAAAGTATGCATGTGATCAACAAGTGCATTTAAAGCGATTTTTCAGGTGATCATCTCACCATTGTGATTGTAGTTCTTGTAGATAATTCATGAAATTTCTATAGAAATTGGTCTTTGAATGAAAACTTTCAAATATTGTTTCTCATAAAATACACTACAAATAGTAGCAGATATTTGCATGGCATGAAGAATGATGAATATTTTCGGGGCCTATGACAAATTG